CGCGCATCGCACGCAGCGTTTATTCACGCAGAATGGGCATGCAGTGAGCTGTGTTAAAACAGCATGAACGTTACAGCGTAGAAGGTTTTCTGGGGTGCTTCACCTGCCAGGGAAGTCGGTCCGAGTAGCACTCACAACTAAGTGGCACAAAAACTCTGGTCACGTCCCGCCTGCCACCTGAGCCGTATTAACAGATTTAGTGGCCTTCCACCGTCAGCCGACAAATGGGGCCCGGCATGATGGGCTACTGAAGTAACTTACGCCATGTCATAACTGACATCGTTAAAATAATTGCAAAATTATATCTCTATTGCCGGGTAGTCGCGAATAATGTAGGGACGCTAGCAAATCTAAGAGGAGGCGCGACAGAGGCATGTCTTTCGCAGAGCGTTTACGAGGCCATAGCAACGGTGCCTGGTTAGCGCCGAATTGACATAGGTGCCTATGGTTCACTACTCGGCTACTTCGGTGCACAATGAAACTTCTTTTTGTAAATGAGTAATGCATTCCATATTTTCTTATATGGCAGACGTACTGACTTTCGCTACTTCCACTATCCGTTACTCCGCCACAATTTGACCCTGACGCAGTTGTAGATGCAGGAAAAAATGACGGCGACATTGAAACAGAACACTTCTTGACATGTTTTGTGCGTCCAGTTAAGAAATCTCCCAATATATTTTAATGGAAGGATTTCTGGGATGAAAGCTTACGTCAATCAGTGCTTGTTGTGTGAGCCCCGCCCCTAACATCCGATTGCGCAACACCAGCTCAACGGCATGATTTCGCAGCGGAGTCCCACGTGCCGCGTTGGTCGGCACGGCTCGTGCCGCCCTCTGACGTCACCTGACTCTTAGCGTGGCGACTGCCACCGACCGCAGGCCGTGACAGTCAAGGGCAAATAGCGAACGCCCTAAGCGCCTCGAGCCCAGCCAGCCGCGAGTGGGTAGGTCGGACGGTAGGTCGGACGGATAGGTCGGACGGCGGGAGTTCTTACCAATCAGGCTATTGGGGCGGACAATCAGAGCGGGAAGGACTTTTCGAAGCAATTAAGTGTGACTAGTTGTGTATCTAAATATACGAATCTGAATTGGAGGAAAAGGCTTCGTTTTGACTATGCGAATTTACAGGAGCAACAGAAAAATGCAATTCTGCACTTGTGCAGAATTGCAAGTGCAGTGTTCCCAGCTTTTTGCGGTTCGTTTCTCCGCAAGGGTGGTTCAAATTATGATTTCTCCCCGGACCAAGCGGTGAAATTCTCTTAACATTTGCCCTGCATATTCTTTTCTCGTACTGTGGACTGGGTTGTGCAAACAGCTGATTGGTGCAAATAAGTGTTCAACCCAGCGATCGCATTCGGGCGATAAAGTGTGGATTTTAACTCTAAGCATCCCGCTCGTGCTCAAACACCACATGACAGTGAACACGCTGCCGCTGTTTTTAGCTACTGCAGCAGATATTTTCCGGCTCTGAACACGTGTTGGCGCCATCGGAAGGTGGATGCTCCGTGTTAGACGCGCGCGGATGCCTAGATACAGAGAGGCTGCCACTTTTGCTACAGCAGCTGTTACCTTTGCACTTTTTTCGGGTCTCCACGAGGGTGGAGTGATCTGTGACCTTACAAATAATACTCGTCCGTAAAAGTAATGTCCTTTAAAAACAGCTGACTTTTCAATCGCGAGCCTGGCGACCTGCTAAGAGCACGCGCTTTGCGGGGCTGTGGGCTCAACAGAGACAGCTCGTTTGAAGAAGTAGGAAGCAGGTTCAAGTGTTCTTAGCCATGGCCTAAAAGGCATGATGTTTTATTTACATACATTGTCAATGCTATTCAAAGTCAACATAATTCAAGGCCGAAGGCTGTCACCTTCCCAGGCACAATGAAGACACCAACAGGCGTCACAACACCAGCTTACAAGGAATGTTTCACATTTGAAAATATTGAAGCAAGCATCAGCTATGGTGAAACAAGCTCACTTATAACTATTGGTGTACTTTTGAAGTGAAAAAGATCGTTCTAGGCAGCACAATTCTTCCTTCAGTAAGTATGCTCCTCAGCGCACTATGGTTTAATTACGTCATGGTATCCAGCATTGATTGAGAGCCAAATGACGGCCGTTATATCTTGAAATCGCGCTCACAGACGCTAGATATGAACGCCTCGATAATTATATCTTTTGGCCTTGGTCGTCGCATGCTTCATGAAATGACAAGATTTAAATAGCGTTATTATGACGTCATGAATGTCGCGGTGACTTTAAATACTCTCCCTGATTTACCTTTCCTTATTTTCGCGGGCGTGTAGTTCAGAGACCAGACGGGTTTAGGTCTCAAGAAGGACAGGAACGTGAACCGCACCGAAATGTCTTAAGACGGGCTATGTCAGTTCACAGCCTCTCGTCAATGTAGACCACTCCTTTTAACTAAAAGACATGTGCACAACGAGCAAAACAAACCAAACCAGTTCTCACGATTGCCATGCGACATATACCCACCAACAATCAGAAACCAAATTAATTACCTTATAAATTACAGCGGTCGTGGAGCCAGCGCCCACGGAGAGAGGGTCAGCGGTAGCCTGGAGCGCTGGCTGCACCGGGGCAGCGGATCCGTTCCAGCGGGCCGCCATTTGGCGGCTTCCCACCGATGGGGCCGCGGAGCTGCGGCCGCGCCACCGGTGACGAGACCATGGCGATACCCGCCGATGGAGCCGCGGAGCTGCGGCCGCGCCACCGGTGACGAGACCATGGCGATACCCGCCGATGGAGCCGCGGAGCTGCGGCCGCGCCACCGGTGACGAGACCATGGCGATACCCGCCGATGGAGCCGCGGAGCTGCGGCCGCGCCACCGGTGACGAGACAATGGCGATACCCGCCGATGGGGCCGCGGAGCTGCGGCCGCGCTACCGGTGACGAGACAATGGCGATAGCGCAGGGGAGGGGGGACGTTGGTTACTCCGATGAAGCCGCCCGCTGCCAAACTGACCGGACTCAACTGAGGCGTCGAACGTCCCCGCAATCAATGCAATCGCCGCTGAACGCTCTGGCGAGCATCGGGGCAGGGAACTGCTGGGCGACGTCTCTACACGCACTATAATATTTTCAAATATCCCTCGACAAAGATCACAGGATCTAGCTCGCGTCACCACTCCACGGGGCTGCTTTAAGCGGAATCAAGCGCCGCAGGGAAGCATCTCCTCCGGCCATTGCTACAACGTGTGGACCAGACGCCTGGCGACATCCCCAATGCGCGCAGAACTGTGGGTGGTCTGCTGGTGCACGACTCCACCGACAGGGCACAACTGGCGTCATCACTATAGTGCAGTGGTACGGGAAGTGTGACATCTTCCTGGATGCGCTGAAGGTTAAGTTCGCTCAGTAGGGAGGTGGGGGTGGGGTGGGGTGGGGTGGTTGCAGCATGGCGGCCGATCGGTTAGGGCGTTGGACTCCCACGTGGGGGTGGGGGGCGGGCTCGGGATCCAGCGGTGCCATGGTCCGGCACAGGCGGCTGACGTGGCCAGTGCGGTCGCTGGTGCTCCATAGAATGGGCGTGGCAACGTGACTCGCACTCCCTTCCCCCCCTCCCAAAAAAAGTTCGATCAGCAGGAAATCCACGACGCCCGACGGATCGAGGATGGAGGCTACCACTGGGTTTCCGAGACTAAATAGGGTCACCATCTGCATTTGTGCGGCCATCTGTGGGACTGCCCATCTCATCGGCGGTCTCTCATCCAAGGTTGTCAGCGCAGCACAACCGCGACCAGGCTCGTTTGGTGACAAATATGTCATGTACAACACGGCGCGGGGCAGTATTTCTTTACGCAAAGACTGCACTAGCCTGCTCCACCGGCTCTGCCGCTCTTGGGTCGCAGCCGGGTCACCACGCTCCAGACGGATACAGCTCGCCGTGGGGACTGCGCTGCACAAACGGCACGACAGCCTCTGGCGGCTGGTGCGATGAGGCTCCAGACTGGCCACCCGTGTCAAGCTCGGTGCGCAGTGGTGGAGCTTCAGATGGCTGCTTGCCTGCAGACGTGCCAGAAGTGTCATGTGTGTCATGATGACACGTTCAGAAGTGTCATCTGAGCCAGTCTGCCTTACTTTGATCTACTGGTCTATCATCCAGACTTGCGTTCGACTTAAATTTTTTGAGTCGGCTCTGAACCGGCTCACTGATTTTGGGATCCGATTCCGCTCGTGACTCAAAACCATTGGTTCAGCTCAGCTCAGACTCATGGCCTGCTTTGAATCATTCGGCTTATGACTCACGCGACTGGCGAGGTCAAAGGTCCGGTTCAGTTCCAGCTCGTTGCCTTATGACTCGTGAGCCATATGACTGCGTGACCTGACTAACCTTGCTGACCTGATGCGACTCATTCATATATATATATATATATATATATATATATATATATATATATATATATATATATATATATATATATATGTGTGTGTGTGTGTGTGTGTGTGTGTGTGTGTGTGTGTGTGTGTGGGTGTGTGTGTTTGTAAACCCTCCTAAGTGGGGACCGAAGTCCGCTACACTCACGCAAGGTGAGGACCGTTTTCAAGGTGGGGGCCGAAAATCGGTCCTCATTTTGCAAACCATTGGAAAACGCTAATTTCGTCCAGATATTGGTCTGGTATCAATCCCTTAGAGGTCCCGACATGGTAGGTTTTGTCCGCCAAGTGTATGTTTCATAGTCACGTGACTTAGGTTGACTTACACAAATCCGCCGGAGAAGTTTCTCGCCTTTCGACTGAAATGTGTGACGTCATCTTGGAATAGAGATGTGCTAATCTTGTTGTCACCTTGAACGCACCATGTACTGTTGATTTCACAAGACAGAATTGACTGAAGTAACTAAATGATAAACAATAGTTATTTTTATATGCCTTAAGACGTTTAATAATGACCAAACATTAACAATCATATAGTTTGGCGGGGCACATGCGTAGTACCCATCACTACTGATTGTTATGGCAGACCTTGGCCGCGAGTTGGAATGCCGTGGAGGTGTCGCGTCGCTCGGTTGGCGTCTTGTCACGCGATCAAGGGACGTGGGATGTTACTGCGTGGTACTTAGTGGTGTTCCTGTGGGCTGGCACGATATGGTAAGTGCTGATAACTGCATGATGTTCTGTACTGGAAGCTCTGTTTTTTAAGTGCACGAAGTTTCTCGTACTCGGGTGCACCGCAGTATCAGGGACAAGGGAAATTCTTCCAACTTGATGGCGGTGCGGCAGTTTTACCGTTGAAACCTCTGTAGATATGAAGGAGGAAGGGGGCAAGCATTAGGTGCGCAGCGTTATGTGGGGTAATGCAAATTCTTCCAACTTGGTGGTTGTGTGGCCGTCTTAGCGTTGCATCCCATGTAATTGTCGACGGGAAGAGGGGGGGGGGGGGGGGGGGGGGGGGCATCAGCGTGCTTTTCACCTCATGTTCCCATTTACCCCTCAGTGGGGTGCACCATTCTCACCTTACCCGCATGCACTGAGTGGGGGCGTAGGTACATCAAGTGAGTAGGGGGGGGGGGCTTTGGGGGGGGGGGGGGTTGCCAAAACTTGTGAAATGATGGAGTCTAACTCAAAGATCATCAACAAACCAATTTCTCTCTGAATTTGGCGCCATTTCATTTCTTAGTTGACAGCTGTAGCTTGATTTCGGAGGGGGGGGGCCTAGAACCCCCCCCCCTCCCTAACGGAATAGGAAATGCGAACCCTGATATCGAGTAGTGATGGCAGGAAACCTTAAAGCCTTTCAACCAGCAGATCAACCCACGAGATGTGAACAGCCATGCTTTTTGGAAACTGCAATTGATGCGTGCTTGATCACTTCAGAATGAATGCAACTTTGACCAGCATGGCCCTAAAAGCATAGTGATCTGCAGACTAATCTGCTTGTGGCCCTCCACGTCATGGGGAGCAAATAGCTTTTCCTGCCTGCTCACACCACGTCATGTCAGAATGATATGTCAGTTAATAAAACATCAAAACTCAACTTTTCGACCAATGCATTCCTTGGACCCTTCCACAGCTGCTTGATGTAGCAGTCTTTTGTAACCTGGAGGTGCAATTCTTTTGTTTTTGCTTCAGTTTCCATGAGATAACACAGAATACACCAGGTACCTGGCCCAACTCATTAATCTTTTGAAAATGTGCATATTGCATATGCTTCCCACCCTCTGTGTTCTCAATTTCAGGCAAAACATAGTTTAACCTACCATAATGTGTGGACTGTAGTGATTTGTGGTAGTGCTGGAAAGCAGCTAAATCAAGGGCGTAGCCTGCAAAGGAAGTAGCAAAATCAGACGAAAATTTGTCCACTCTGTTAGATAAATCACAAACTAAAAGCTTAACGTGTACCTTTTGACCAATAGAGAGCAGCAGGGGGCGCAGCCAGAGGTTTTGTAAGGGGGGGGGGGGCACAGGATTGACAGAGGACACCCTGATAGTAAAATCCCCCCCCCCCAAATCACCTCATATGACCCATTTGTTATTGAAGACATGTTTTTTCTTATTAAGCTCAGACCAACACGGAGATGACTGTTCGTTGTTTGCGATCTCTGACCGAAATAGAGGAGTTTTCTGTCTCAGGGGTCTCCATCGGTGCCAAAGATCATTTTACTGACATTTGAGATCACGGCCCTACGAGCTCACGGCTCCTTAATGTGACCTACAGCCAGCCCTTCGGACTCTTCTAATCTTATATTAGTATTTGGTCTCTTATATTAGTCTTTGGTCCATATTTGGTCTCGAGAGACCCTTCGGCCCCTCTTTGGGCCCCCTCAAAATCGCTCTGACTCGGGGCCACTTGCCGCCACAGTTCGAGACGGTGGCCCCTAACCGACACAGAAGCCCTTCATTGTGCCAGGGACCCCGAACATTACAAATCGCGAGCCCCGGCCTTGTTTCTGCTTGGGAAATGGGTCTCAAGGGCTCAGACGGACATGGAGCCGACTGTTCGGTGTTCGTGGTCTCGGACCGATTGTCTCAGGGGGGGGGGGGGGGAGGGGATGATCCTAAAACGATGCAGGGGGACCTCTGAGTAGTATTTTAGGTCACGACCCTGCGGGCCGCGATTCTTTACGTGACCTACAGTCAGTTCTTTAGACCCTTATACCCCCCCAAACAGGCCTTTGATCGTCGGTTCCGGTGTGCTGTTCAAAAGTGCTGTTCAAAAGTTGAAGAATGATGTACATTTAATCTTGGGTGTTTTTGGTTCATCCTTAGCACGCATTAGCAGTTATGAAATTTCAACAGCCAGATGCAAGTATTTCACCACCTTGCCAATAATTATTGATGCTTTGAATGGTCATTCTTTCCGCATGTCAATTTACAAAATTGTAAGATAAACGGCCTAGACTGCTTAGCAAGCGCGCGGGCTGAACGAGTAAAACATTTTAAAACGCCTTCCGTTTCATACGCAAGCGCGCGGGTTGATCGAGTGAAACATTTTAAAACGCCTTCTGTTTCATACTTAGTAAGCCTTTGGCTTTCGTTCGGGCTGGTCAGGTGTTACCGATATGACATAACCGGTGTACTGGCTCTAAACACTAGGGTCAGTGGGTCTGATTGGCATGAAAACAAACATGACGCTATTTTGGTGGTGGGTTCAGGGTATACGCGACACACAATACTTAGCAAGTACAAGCAATGTGGGATTCGTCTCATCATTTTATTACCGTCTCCTACCCATCTTTACGAAAGCCATTCATTTGCCATTCCTCTTAAATCTGTATTATTTGCCCTTGCGATTTGGAGACCTGCGATGAATAAAGTGTTCGCTTCTAACAACGTCCCTTGACCAAGTGATGTAATGCTAGCTTGTGATGGAAAGTGACATTCACTTCATGAAAGAAAGCATGGCGGCCAAAAAGGTGGCACTCCAGGAACTGATAGATTTTTGGTACATAGACTTGATGACATCGTATTCATGCATTTTATGTGTGAACAGACACGTGAACAGGGTTGACGGGTTTTGCGTGATTGATCTTTGGTAATCTTGACGCGCGTCTCGCATATGTCTGGATTACGTGTTTTTGCAGGGGGTTGGTTTCCTTTACCGGTGGACGACTTTAGCTCCCCACCGACTTGTGATGCAGGCAATCCCAATTCAGTGGTCAGCCTTCTCTTCCCAGTTTATGGCGTCTGCCGTGGCAGGAAGGCTGGACCAGGCAGCAAATCGGACCCCGTACGTCTGGTTTCCTATACGCGCGGCTTAACGTATGTTTCTCTACCTGTTTGGTACAGTCAGAAGGCAACCAACAAGTGTTGTGTTTTACAAATGCTCGTGCTCACTGTTACAGGCATAAATCATACCGTTTGAAGTTATTCAGCATGCCACTAGCAAAGATGGCATGTTTATACTGGTGAAGTTTAGTGGCTTCAGGTAAGAGCATACAGTGTCCCAATCTCATCGAGCTAACAAGTGATCCTTGTTGGTAGGACCCCAGTGAATGACACTCGTGCATTGCGTTTCGTTTGAACAGCCGTGAGCCGATTTTTAAGACATTCAATGAAAGACTGAATGACTTGAGTGCTTCGTCTGTGCGTTTCTTGGCATAGCTGTTCAGAGCATGAATAAACCGATATATACATTGTTATACTTACCTGAAAATGAGCATGGGCGGTGCCGAGATGGGAGACAAACGGGCTGTCCGATCCCCTTTTCTCCAAAGACCTCGACAAAACCCATGACCAATGTGCGTGCCGTGGAAAACCCTACGACCCATGCGCCCAGCGGCCCATTACCCAACCAAGCAAAAGATGGTAGTCAATGGACTATTTTTGCAGTGAGCGCTCAAAGGACCAACGCTAAATTTTCAGAAACATGCAGGTTTTAGCCCCTGCCCCTATTCATCCCCGGTTCTCTTACCCATGTCTTGCAGTGGTGCAACCAAAGACACGTGAGCTGTCTATACCTATGAGCGTGCCCTGGGAAAGCGTGGCTTTTCGGCGATGCTAGCAACCAGCCCTGACGTCTTCCATGCTGATGTGTTATGATCGTTAGGCGAGGGTATGATTGTACGATAAAAATAGCGTCATGAAATGTAATGAAACGGGTCTCCAGGGTGACTCCAGGGTCTCCTAAATGCTTTCTTTCCGCGCGCATGAGAAAATGGTCGTATAGAATAACAGCCAACGTTTCTTTGCTTGATTTTACAAATACAAAATTTTCTGACCATTCTTAAGGCCCGTTCTGGCCACTCCAGGGCCCCCTAAGTTTTTCCGTGTGCCACTCCTGGTCACTAGTTGTCTTCTGCTTGCCTAATTGGCGTGCATTCTCACGTTTTTCTACTTATTTCAGAGTTCCTACATGGGTTTCGAGAGAAAGAGTGCCTCTGAGCCTAATCCGGTCATATTTTGAGAAAGGCTGGTGCATGGTTAAAAAAATGTTTCTTAAAGCATTGAGTGAAGCGTGAGCAGCAGCATAAGCTGAGAGCATCAGATCGCACAGAGCCCTTTGAAAGTAGGTGTAGCAACCAAGGGTGATTGTGCTCTGTTTTGGGTTTAAAACTGATCAGTGGTAGATACCACCTAACAAAATAATGTGTCATGGCATAGACTGTCTGTCATTGCTGCAAATCCCAACTGCTCTGCGCGGGAAATTTGCTCATTGTTTTGTTTCGTAACGTTTTGCAGCTTGTGTGTCTTCATTGTTTTTTGCTTGCTTTTAGTTGGATATAAAGTGGTTCTTTTGTACTTGCCAAGATACCAGTCATCACGAACATTTTTGTTCCGTCCATGAAAGAAACTGTTCATAGAATTTGAACATACGCATGGACACACGCACCAACGTGATCCCATGTAGTAGGCATCACAGAGTAACTGTGGCCAACCATACACTTGCCCGTACCCTAGCACCGAGCGGGGTCAGTAGACCGACGCCCCATAAATCGATGTCCCCTTGGTTAAACAGCCACTTGGCCATGTGGCTTAGTTGGCTAAGGCGTTGGCTTCGGAGCCCAAAGTACCCTGGTTCGCCTCTGACCACCGGCGCATTGTGTCTCGGTCTCCTCGGCATAAGAATCGCAACTCCGATAGGTCTGGCACTGTAGCGCATCGTTGAGTAACTCGAACGATCCTTCTTCCGACGTACTGGTTTTTTGTTTTCGTTTTTGCTTAATACTCGTCATTAGGTAACCAATGGCGATCGGTCTGTCCGCAGATCATGATAATGATGCTTCTGGCCTCATTCCTGATGACGATGAAGATGAAGATCGTACGTACCTTCCCGACCCACGGCCAGCAGCGGACACGGACGAGGACGAGGACCAGGACATGGACGAGGACATGGACGAGGACGAGGACAAGGGCAAGTCCAAGGATATGGACGAGAACCAGGATATGGAGGAAGCCAAAGACGAGAACGAGGACGAGGACCAGGATGAGGCCCAGGTAGTGGCCAAGAACAGTAGTAGGGCTTCCGGCGAACACAGTGTCTCTGTTGAAAAATCTCCTAAAGCAAGAAAGCCATCCCTAAAGCGGAACGTTTGCCCCTATTGTGATGCCCTGCACACAAAATTTACACGCCATCTTTTCCGGAAGCATAAACGAGAACCCGACGTACTTGACGCGCTCGCCTTTCCAAAAGGATCAAGGGAGAGGAGAATCACTCTGGAAGGTATCATTCATAAAGGCAACTTCAAACATAACTGCTGTTTTCCGAGATGGGCGAGGAACGATCGTCCCCAAGAGGCGTCCACCCCAAGATATGAATTTCAACGTGAAAGATATGCTGCCATGTGGGAAATTTCACGATGTCTTTTCTAGACGCGGCCTCTTTCGGCATCGGTGCCACGCCCATGGGAAAACTGCCTCTGGGGGCCGAGTCCAGTCCCAGGGAAGATCCTTGCTGCCGTGCCACAGAGATGCCGCGGCTGGTTTAGAAAACCTGATGGCGAAGATGCGAGACGATAGTATTTCGTCCACTTGCAGGCATGATGCCTTTATCATGGAGTTCGGGGCCCGTCTATACACAAGATTGGGCCACGAGCACCACTAACATGCACACATCAGAGAAAAAAATGCGGCAGCTAGGACGACTGCTGCTGGAGCTGAATGCATCAAGCCCAGGATCAGGTCTAGATGTGTTTATTCACCCCGCGAAGTTCATGGAAGTGGTAGGCGCGGTCAAGAACATGGCCGGTGTGAAGGAGGGCAAATATCATAGCCTATCGCTTGCTCTCGAGCTTGGTTATGGCCTCAGCGAATGCGCGCGCATGCTGAAAACGCGCGGGATCACCAACGAAGACGCCACCCCGAGGACGGCTGCGGACGATTTCCTCCTGCTCTACCAACGAGATTGGAAGCTACACGTGTCTTCTCGTGCGCTTACCACTCTCTAGGAAAGGAAGTGGAATAAGCCCGTCGACCTTCCCCTCAATGCGGATGTTCAGAGTGTAACGAAGGAGGTGCGGGATGAGTTGGTGCAGGCTCAGCGGCTGTTGGAAGAGGAACGCTCTATCAAGAACTATGTTAAATTGTCGGAGACTGCGTTGGCATCCATCATTTTGTTTAACCGGCGAAGGCCGGGAGAAGCGTCGAGGCCTACGGTCAGATCATACACTGAAAGGGACCAAACTCTCAATGAAGATGTCCTGCAGCACCTGTCTCCCTTAGAGCGAGAGCTATGCCATTCGCTGGGAGATGTGGTTCGGAGCAAAAAAGGAGGCGATGTGCCCATCATGCTGACAGCCACAATGCGAGGGGCGCTTGATCAGCTGATCGCAGCGAGGAAAGACGTTGGGATCCCTCTCGACTGTCCACACATTTTCTTCAACAGCGCAGCCCCAGTTGCGAGCACGCTCAGAGGCAGCGACTGCGCGCGGACATTCGCGCGGAGGGCACGTGTCAACAACATCACAGTCACGAAGTACAGAAAGCATGTGGCTACTATGCTGCAACTGCTGCAACTGAGCGAGATTGAAATGGATATCGTGGCCCGCTTTATGGGCCATGACATACGGGTCCACAGGCAGTTCTATAGACTTCCCGAAAAGACGGTGCATGCTGCCAAAGTGAGTAAAATACTACTCGCGATGGCCAAAGGGATCGGCGGATTCGCAGGGAAGACCCTGTATGACCTGACCCCAGCAGTTACGATGTCGTCGAAGGTGGTTCCGCTCCCAGTGTCGACATAAACGACAGCGCTAGCATTATTGCCCCTGACGACATGGGAGTGGAGATGGGGGTGAAGAACGCTAAAGAGATGGCTTCCGATCCCCAAGCTGAAGCAGAAAACGGACCACCCAGGTGTCCAAGGATTAATGAAAGAAGGCCCAAAGCCAAAAGGAGGGGCGTGCTGTGGACTGAAAGAGAAAAGAGGCTATACAGAGGCGCATGAAGCCATTTATCGGTTCTCTGAAGTGCCCAGGAATGGCAGACTGCCTAGCGGCACTGAAGGAGAAGTCTGCACTGTGCCGGCGTTCCTGGAAGGATGTTAAGTTCTGTACATACGATGTGATCCAGAAGCACAAGTGTACCATGGAAATGTAGTTTCAGCTGAAAGCTTGGAATGTTCCATGTCTAGATCCCCTGCTGCGTTGTGTGCAATCGCTGCCTTGCGGTGGCAATGTTCTTTTACCTGCAAGCTCGGGAGGCTCCGGACGTTAGATCCTCTGTTGTGTTATGTTGCAACCCCTGCTTTGCGGTGTGGTTGTTTGACCCTTGCAAACAAACTAAGAAACCTTTTACGCAAGAGTGTGTTTGTGGTGGACTGTGATCGGAACTGATGGATTTGCTGTCTCATGCCGCCCTCCCCACATGGAAATAACACAAAAACTTAAAACGAATAGCAGAAAGCCCGCGTCGGGAGACCTCAACATTGCCTCACAGATTGCAGTAGTGACCTATGTCAAGAAGTTTGAAACCGATTTTGTGACCTGCATAGCTGACTGACCTGACCTGCCCCAGATCGTCGTCGATCTGGACTCGTCGATCATCGTCGATCAGGACTATCGATTGATCGTGGTTGTCGTCGTCATCATTGGGGCTTTACGACGCACTCACCTGCTGAGGTCATATGACGTCGCCTGACTAACCAAGGCAGTGGTTTGTTATTGTGATTGTTCTTCATCTATGCCGTGGGCTGGTCAGACAGGTACCGGCCAGGTACCGAAGACAGGGATCATCAAAAGACAGCGGAAGAACTCGGAATGTTGAAAAATGCATGGAGGTTCAGATTTTTGTACTGTTCTCATTTTACGCATTATTCATGCTTCGAAATCAACCGCCTTAATGTGATGTAATACCACATAGTTTGGCAGCTTTTAATTCGCACACAATGTCATGCGTTCCGTCTTGACAAAGTTTTGGCGTCAACTTGTTGGAAAAAGTTTCGAACGCAGACGAAGAGACATAATTTTGGACTGTAATGGACAAGGCATAACATGTAGCATGAAAGTAGGCATAAGAAGTGAAAATCATCTGTTGCAAACCGAAAAATTGCGTGTAGCTTTTGCCATGCGTCAAATATAACATAATATAATACAATATAATCAAATATAACTATAATGCAACATAATGGGAACATCACAAAACATTACAATAAGCTACAAATATAGCAGTATATACTGCAATATAATGCAGGTATAACAATATAATACAATATAATACAAATATGACATGATATAGCACAGATCGACATAAATATCATAAATAGGAATGGTCGGCTCGCGATTCAACCCATGACATTTACGAAGAATGCGATTTAGCTCAAGGCTCAAAGCATCATTTTTTCCTAACGAGCCGACTCAGCTCGCGACTCACCAAACACGATTGGCTCGTGAGCCAGTTCACGACTCAGCTCGATTAAACAGTGACGATTCCTAACAGCAGAAAGCTGAGTGAAACCTGCAAACCATGTCTCCAGCGGATGCGAAAGGGGACACGCTATGGCTTCACGGCTCGCTGACAGCGCAGGAACGATTACCGGATCCCGGACATTCCCACGCGCGCTCCCGTCTGCCGTCCGGTCGCTGGGGACGAGGTGGCACAAGACGTCGCTGATGATCCTGTTGACCCACTGCACGGGACGGTGACCGCAAGCCTGCCCGCCACGTGTGCCGCACAGGATGGACGGGGCACGTGCGCCGCCTAGGATCTGGCTGGGCTGGCGATGAATCTCAGCCTGGAGAAGTTGCGCGCCGCCACAGCACTTGATGCTGAATTCGGCTGTCATGTCATGTCGTGCTGTCACTTGTATGTTATTGTCATGTTTATGTCATGCAATGCCAATGCCATGTCAATGTCATGTCAATGTCATGTCAATGTCAGTCAATGTCATGTCAATGTCATGTCAATGTCATGTCAATGTCATGTCAATGTCATGTCAATGTCATGTCAATGTCATGTCAATGTCAGTGACATGT